AAAGAATACCAGCACCGTAAACCGAGGTATAAACAGAGCCCCCCCCCCCCCCCCACCCCACACACACACACACACACACACACATTCCTCCTTCCCTGCCCCTCCCCCCCCCCCCCTCTCTGCACTGAAGCTGCATTCTACCTCGTGCAACATGAGATATTTTCAGTAGTAAATGCGTTTGGAACAAAAGCGATTTGGCGAACAAAAGGTAATTGAGCCCTGGGAGAAGTTAGCGAAAAAAAAAGCAGATGGCGTGCAGTATATAATTTTAATAACAATCTATTGTGTGGAATAATACTTATCTCGTTTGGTTGATGGAAGGTCGAATGCGATGGGCTTGATCACTTTTGTTTGCTTAAAAACACCCTTTTTAATGATTGTTATCTATCCAAAGCACAACCCTAAAAGCTTTCCATTCTAGCTTTTCATTTGTAGCGTTGATCCATTGGTGAATCACATGGATATATTCTGCTGGATGAACTGCAATTAAAACGTGGCGGCGCCATTTACGGAAATTAATATACTAGAAATTAATTAATTAATTAAGTCATTGCCCCTGGAGACTTTGTGTATCGGGTGGCTCAAAAACTCAAAGAGATTTGATTTAGATTAAATTTTTTCAGACCAAATTTATTTTTAAACAAGTAAGTCTTGAACATGCCTACAACAGGTCGCGAAAGATATACAGATTGAGGTAAAAGGCGTGTATAATCTTTTTTAAAAATCCTAGCACAGGCACAATTGCTAATTTTTTTTATCAAATGGTATCTAAAAAAAATCATATTATTTTCTCCCTAAAATAACCCGATCTATTCCTTTTTAACTGTAATGATAATACATAATGACTGTGGTTCAAACATCTAATCTGCATACTGGCTAATGTTTAAAAACAACAGAACCTGATACCTTGCTGGACCAACTGTAGATTCTACTTTGAGCTCGTAGACTCTACACAGATTACGTAACTTAAACACATAAAAAACGACTTTAGACAAATTGTTCTAGGCGAGGAGAAGTCATTGCCCCTGAAGACTACGTGTATCGGGTGGCTCAAAAATTCAAAAGTTTAATAACGTTATTAATTATGAATATCTTGCATCTAAATTTCGGTATTATGAAAAATGATGTTTTTAATAAATGCTAATAATTCCATAAATCTACCTTTCTTGCTTTGGCACTACAAAAATTTAAAAAAAAAACTTAAGTAAAGAAATACCGTACTGACCTATGCGGCTTCTGACAGGGGGCAGAGTGTGGTAGTTGTGACACCTGTGAATGTGTTTTTGGATGTGATGATAATATCAAAACTGTTTCGTTTTCACACTTGACAATTTCGTGGTGGACCAAAAATAAAGCCTTAAAACCCTGTGCAAAATTTCAATACAAGGGCCTGTCAACTGTTGAATTTCTTGAACTTTGAAATAAGTGAGGTGTATTTTTTAGCCACCACATATAATGTATATCCCACAGTTATGGTAAACTACCCTCATATAAAGTATAAATAATACCAATACAAAATCGTGCTAGTGTACAGTGTTCCAATATGGGTGGTCCGTCTCTCTCATCATTACGACAGGTGCGTACAAATAGGCCTATACAGATCTAGTATAATTGATTGTTTGAATTGCTCGAGACTTATACATATGGGAGTATATACATATATAAACTTCCCGCCTAGCATACAAATGCATGTAAACATGCACATAGCGTGCGAAAAGTGTTTCCATCAAAATGCAGCTTTTGCTTTTTGGAATATAAAAATACAACATTACATTATGATTTTCTCTTTTTTGTCCCAAACTCGGCTATCTAAAACTGAGTATCTTTTGCCGGTTCCGGGACGGCATCCTTATAACGTTTGTTCATGTCCAAGCTTTTGCGGAAATGCTTCTTTCTTCTGTAATGGAGGATGATGACGCCGATCTTAAACAGAAACATCAGCACGGCAACTGTCAGCAGAACGAGGCCGATGACACAGTTCCGCTTGGTAATGTCCCAGTTGTTCACAAGAATGCCCGTGACTGCCCAAATGACCACTGGGTAGACGATGAACAGGTGACGCAAGTGCTTGTCAAAGACGAAGATGTCCAATATGAAGTAAATCAACACTTCCGCCGCCAAAATCCCGAGAGATATCGAGCCGGAGACCTCTGGCGAGACCACGCCGATAGTCGGTCCGTAAGCGAGAACATTGGCAAAGGAAAGCAAGTTGGCGATCGATGACCAAGTGGCATAGATCGCCAGACCGTTCTGGAAAAATACCTTGACCATCCAGACATCTTTACAAGATCCCATCCCGACGAGATATTGCGAGGTTTCAGCCAGGTGGCGGTGCGAGAACCACAGGATGACGTAAAGCGCGAAGGTGCTAAGGGGTAGGGGAATCATGGAGAGTTCTCTAGCGTCCCTGTCTATAAGAAGGAGCCAGGCGATGGTGCACAAGTTGCTAAAGGGAAAGAGGAAGTAGGTCACGAAGGGGACCAGAGTAGGTTTGACATACATGTAGCCGTCCGGCCCCTTGCGGCAAATGCTGACGACAGCGTACAGCAACCAAACTGCCTGAGAGAAAAAAAAATGTGTATTTATTTATTTATTTATTTATTTATTTATTTATGTTATCACACTTCATTCCAGCTAATGGCTACTTGCATTATTTTGAAACAAAATTACTGTCATACATGATAACAAAACAAAAACTATGATTTTTCTTTCTTCACTCATTTTATCATATAATCACGTTCTTTTCAACAATATTTTTCAAGGAAAATCGATAACACACGTATTACATATGCTTACCTGCCAGAAATAGATAAGCCACCAAATACGAAAAGCATAAAATGCAGGATTGATGTCCAGTTTATACTTTATATAATTTTGGCGAAAAGTGTCATTGCGCTCGAAGAATACTGAAAGGAAATGTAGATAAAATAAAGACATGTTGGTACAGCTGTTACTGTAGCAATAATACCCTTCGTCACAAACTGCAAAAAAAAAAAAAAAAAAAAAAAAAAAAAAACGGTCCATAACACAAGTTATGTTGATTACAGACAGACGGACAGACAGACAGACAGACAAACAGGGGTGAAAACATAACCTCCTTGGCGGAGGTAAAAAAATTGCTCACATGAGATACCTGATGGAGCGTATTTGCAGTCTTTGACAAAAGAATGTTATTACTACTATCATTTACCAAACTGATGAAGCGTTTTAAAAAGCAGCTATTGTTTTCACAAATGATGAAATAATACTGAGAGGGAGTAGGCTGAAAATGAGACCTAGAAAAAGAGAGAGAAGAAGGAGAAATAAAAAAGAAAATGGAGGTGGAAGGAAAGACGGGGAGAGATAGAGAGTTGGGGAGGTAGGAATAACGCGAGGGAAAAAATGGCGAGTGACCAACAAAAAGAAAGAGAAGAAAAATGAAAATAAAAGAGAGAGGTTAGGGGCGTAGCCTGAGCAAAATGCCAGGGGGGCAGTAAGCGGACAAGAGGGGGCGAAGACCCCGAGGGGGGAGGGTGTGGCAGGGGGTGTCCCCCTCCGACGGTGTGGAAAATTTTTAAAAACTGTATGTATAATACTGCATTCTGGTGCATTTTAACTGTTATTTATTGCTCAATCAGAAGTCAGAAATTGTGTTTTCATTTTGCCATAAGTACAGTCATTTTTTCAAAAACAGTAGGCCCTACACCTTTGTAAACAGATCGTTGAATGATTGTCTAGTGGCAATGAGTGCATTTTCTCACAGAATTGATACCAACTTTGCAGTTATTTTTTTTACCTTTGCGATTATTATTATTATTATTTTTTTTTTTTTGCACCTCAAATCCTAGGGGGGCAGCTGCCCCCCCCCTGCCCCCGGAGGCTACGGCCCTGGAGGTAGGAAGAAGAAGAAGAAGAAGAGCGGGAGAATGGGAGAGAGACAATCTTACCATTAGACACTGGCCCACTTCTTACTGACAGAGCATTGAATGTACACGACGCAGCATACGACAACACAGTGAAGAATATCATGAATATATGAAATGGATTATGACTGAAGTTTCCTTTCTCAGCCGCCATCTTGGGATCTGAAAATAAAATGAGAGCAATAAAGAATAAAATTGTGAATGCTAGAATATCTGTACGTGTACAGAATATCACGGAGGGGATCCACCTTTTTTCCAGGGTCACAATAACAGAGCTTTACTTTCCCACCTTTAATGATGTTTTCGCACCATCAATACCGCAGCTAGAATATGACGACTCCCGTTTACCACATAATTAATCACAAAATCATCAAATCTAGCAAATTATTCTTAGTCGCTATATGCAGATTATAAATACTAGTATCACGAGATATTTTTATATTTTCTCTCGCTAATGTGTACAGGGAGAATATGTAGACAGAATTTTGCACAAAATAAACACGTAACTGTTGGTCAGTAGTAGAAAGAATGCAAAATCTTTTGGTTTTCACATAATGCAAGGGCACAGTGGTTGATTTCCAGCTTTCTGAAGAGAGGAAAAAATGGAATAAAATTTACTGTAGTGTGTAGGACACCGGGATGGAAAATGAGCTTGAATCTGTCATGGTTTGCTGTTTGTTTGGAAATAAGGGTGGGTGTAAGGTGCGTTTCACCCCCATTTTTTCCGCACTACTCCGAACTCTCTCTCCCCAAGCATCTGCCCCTTCTTTTTCTCATTTTTTTCTTCCTCACCTCTCTCTCTCTCTCTCTCTCTCTCTCTCTCTCATACTAAATACACACAACATGAATTCCTTCTAATTCTCTCTCTCTCTCTCTCTCTCTCTCTCTCAGTATCGTAAAGGAGGGGTCTGTTTGCCTAGCACCTCATACATTTCTATATCTCTGTGTCCGCAGGCGACCAGAATACCTGAATGTCAACACAGTTATCAGTTGTAGGCGTTGGTGGGGCTTAAGAATTCAACGCTGTCACTAGGCTGGCGCTGAGAGGGCGCCGACTCTTTAATATGAACGCCCAAGTGTGAGAATAGCGATCTCATCACTTTTCTCTTTCTAATATTTTAAAGAAGGTGTTATAACAGTCTAAACAGTCGTGTCAAGAACGAAATACGTTTCCATTAGTATCTATTGAATAACGGCCTTCATATCTACTTTATGAGGTATTTCTACCAATGATAAATGAGATAAGAGATACTAAAGGAATGAATGAATGAATGAATGAATGAATGAATAATAATAATAATAATAACAACAATAATAATAATAATCTATAAATAAAGACAACTGTAAGGAACCTTTGCGTTCCATTTCGTCGCATATTCAGGCTCTTCTTTTTATCTAAACAACGCAGGCATTTCAACGTTGTTGAAGCATTAGTCGATATTACGGCACAGATTTACACATTTCATCTTCATAGTATTTGATCTGCAATTCATCAAAATCTACCCAAGGGCATTTTATCGGTAATGGTTTCTTGAAGTAAACAGATTTACGTTGACTTAATATACACAACACCAAGGGTCTAGATTCATTTGATTGAATGATCTCTCTGAAAATACCAGTATTTATGGCACATTTCCAAAATATGGATGGAATTTAATTTTTAATAAGTGATTTTGTCTAATGTTTTATTGTATCTTTATTTCACTAAAAATAATTAATAAATTAATTGCACACGCTTGAAAGGCAACATGCATATCATGGAGACACGCTTTAATTCATTCCGCCACCCTGTGTAATAAAGAAGAAGAAGAATTTGTTCTGAACTTTCATCCGAAATCCGCACGTTGCAGACCATGTGTTTTTATTTGAGTAAAACATTTAAGCGTTTCATAATCTCAAAAAAAAAAAAAAAAAAAAAAAAAAGCGTTTTCAGGTGGTGATTTATGCTTTATAATTATAAGAATGGCTTTGACCCAACCCTGTCACTTACTTAACGCAATTGTTATCATTAAATATTTTTTCTTGGTTGAATTACAAAAGGTTAAATATTTTATCAAACACAAAGAAGAGCCTTAATCACTCCTATCATGAACCGTATGTACATTACGCTAGAAATCCAATATTGTCCATTGTTTGCTCTTAAATGATATACTAAAATAAAACAACTCTTACCCCTTTTATGAAAATAACAAACATTGAAGTAGTAATTTAATACAGATTGTTTAAGCAGTTTTTGAATGGCTTATGAAACTCGTCAATGTTTTAATCAAATAAAAACACATGGTCTGCAACGTGGGGTATGTACATGTAAGCACACAACGTGACTATGCCGGTTTTGTGTAATCACCTCACTTTATAAGTGATGCACATTTTATGTTTGTGTTAAAGAACGCGCTTTTTTTCTGATTTTTGATCATCCACGTCCGTTTCTCGGTTTCTGGCATGTGATTTGTAGCCCTTTCCCTAAAATAAAGATGTTGGGCTCGGCTACATATTTCAATTGCACTTAGTCGAGAATCAATAATTCATGACCTTTGCCAAGGACGTTATGTTTTTGCTTTCGTTGGTCAGCCTGTGCAACTCACAAGGTTTCGGACGTACTTTGGTATCATTGTCAGTGGTGGCGATCCATTTATTAATTAAATGATTGATTAATTGATGATGAGAATTGTGATATCTTGGTGAAGGTCTGGATGTGTGTTTAAGTTTGTATATGTCCAGTGTGTTGCCTTATCTCTATTTCTGGGCAAGCGATATTAAGACGTAAACGCTGCGTCGTCACCACTTCTGTGAGCACTGGACGTTTTCGTTATTTGAGTGCAAGTCCATAAATAGAATCAGGAACTCCTGCTGGGAAACCTATTGCATGTGTTATAACTGAATGTCTGATAATCACAATGGAATTATTTATTTATCCTTGTGAACACGTGGAATAACTTGACAACACCTTACTTAAGATTAAACGAAAAAAGAACAAAAAAAAAAAAAAAAAAAAAAAATCCGCACTAGTCATTATCTTGATGGCATGCAAAAGCCGATATTTTTATAAGTTTGCTTATATATTTATATTTTGCATATCTGTTATCAAAGTTTCTACTGACTTCATATGTCGGTAATACAACGGCACAAATTTCGCCACCGCAAAAGATTCCATAGTGCAAAGGCATAATTACTAAACCGGATAGCAGGAAGAAACTGCATTCGAAATATGACGAGGCCCGGGTTCAGCTGAAATAAGAGTCGGTTCTTTTTCTCCCTAATAACGATTTCACCAAATTCATGAAGTTATGTAAGGAAACAAGGATACCCTTCCTCCTTTACGGAGGTAATTATTCACCTTGTCCTCACCTCGTGAGTTATGTCCCGATATTTCTGATGGCTAATAAGCGTTCTTTCGTCTCCAAGCAATTTCCAACACCATGTAAGTGTTATATATGAGCTTACATGGTGTTGGAAATTGCTTGGAGACGAAAGACATGAGACTTACATGAGAATCTGATAAAGGTTAGAATTAACTTTGTTTCACCACAAGTTAAAATTCGTAAAGAATTTTCAAGATACACAATAAAATACCCTGAAAGTGTTTGTTTTAGTTTAAATTTATGGCCTCTGTGAACCGCTGCAATGCTCCTACATTTATATCAACGTAAAATCGTCAAAACTATTATCAATAATCTGAGTTAGCCCTCGCGTTTTAATTATAATAATGTTACTGACTATTTGTGTGTTATAACTCCCCAAATATACGGATTTTCTGCTTCAATTTCGTCAAATATTCTAGAAAACCATCACGGACGCCATAGCTCCCCAGTTGTGTTATGCACTAACACGCGTTGAAACCTCCGTCGTTTTATCAAAGCCCAGCCCTCATCAAACCACTTCATTCATCAGATATGACGAGCGTCTATCTTACCTGCTTGTAGCACGTACTCTCCCGTGGTCTTCCTGTTAATGCTGTACATCGAACCAGCGTTGACAGCGTCTGATATAAGCGTCTCTGTCATTCCCTTGTTTGCGTTAAGTCTTCCCTCCGAGTTCGTGTTTGGAAACGCGTGAATTGTGTAAGATTTAGATAACAAATCTCGGTGACCTGGCCTCCATAAGCAACCGGTAGTTATGTTGAGGTAGTGCACGTTGCTCGGGTGTAGGTCAACGTGGACCACGCAGTGATTAAAATGACGCGTGTTTGTTTGTTGTTGAGGTGGTGGGGGCGATAAGATGATCAAGGGCGTTGGTATTTTTCTTTCTTTCATTCATTCTTTTGGTTTGAACATTTATTTTTCGATTTTTTTGTTATACACACTCTCTTCTCTCTTAATTGCTATTTTCCCCTGTTTTGCCCTCCATCCATATATCTGTATTCACGCGTTCTCTCTTTCTCCCCCCTCTTCTATTTTCTTTCATTTGTCTTTCTTTCACCCACTTCCTCTCCGATATAGAAATCCACGGAAAAATTCAACATAAACAAAGTATTTTTGAATCTGTAGCTCATCAATGATGAGATAGAAATAATAATAATAATAATAATAATAATAATAATAATAATAATAATAATAATAATAATAATAATAATAATAATAAATAGGAGGAGAAACAGGTAGAAAAATACCAAAAAGTCCAGCATATATCTTTACAGGACATTTGATGTAGGTGAAGCAGTTATTTGGGTCTGGGGCATTAGTGCATTGTGAGTGTGCCAACGATTGAGGGGCGAATAAATCGCTTTGTTTATGTGTCCATCTTCTTTTCATGTTTAGCTGTTAGATTGCTAGGGTGGATGTAAGATAATAGTATAAATCGTTATCTAATATGAGTGCTATTCTGTTTGCATGCTCTTTTATACAAACAGACAGCCGCCCCCCCCCCTTTCCGTTCAAACATAATGTGGGCAAAATGAGGTCTTTCAGATTTCGTAAAAAAGATGAGAAGTCATAATCAACCAGCTAACGACAATTCCCCTTATTATTTTTCGTTTGGAGTAAAATAAGTTCAGATTCTTGATCATTACCAATGCAAAATATCTAAACACCCAGGTCTCCTAAATATACGTCATGTTTTCAATATCTTTTGTCTGTCGGTTTTTTTTTTCATTTGAAAAATATTCGAATGGTTGAACACATTTAAGCGCAGCTAAGTAGCATAATTTATATTTTTTTTGCTCTATTCCAAACACATGAAACTGTAGTTTTAGGGTTTGAATCTAATGACCTGACGGTACTAGTTAGAAGAGTGATAAAGTGGATATGAATCTTGCCAAGGCGGGTTGTTAGTCTGCTTCAATGTGTATTTGGATAGTGACACGCACATCAACACATACAGGTACACACGTATAAAGAGAGAGAGAGAGAGAGAGAAAGAGAGAGAGAGAAAGAGAGAGAGAATCCCAGTCACCACTGTCTTTACAGTTATTTTCTTGCTATGTTGCTATTTTTAATAGCTAAAAAAACTTAACAATATCCAGCATCAGTGTCTCCACACCTGTCCACACAATGCTGGTCACAACACACAGCACAACTAACACAATCAAGCAAAACAAAGGACACCGCATTCTTACTAGTACGTGTGTCACTTGACCTTGTTTTTATTTTGGTGAATCTGGAAAGACCAGAACAATCTTTTAACATCTATGATGAAAATTAAGAGGAAAGTCGTAGAGAAAGTTCTGAGGGAAAGAAATAGGGGTTCTCCAACGATATATTGGGGGGGGGGGGGGGGGTATGTGCTGTGTCACTTGAGGTGTTTTTTTTTTTTTTTTTTTTTTTGGGGGGGGGGGGGAGGTTAAATCTGATTATCTGGGGGTCCACCGTAACCTGCTGGTCAACTGTTGTATGCTTTTACTGGTTTGTGTTAAGAAGACGTTGGCGTTTATGCATGTTTGATAATTATTCACCAACGCCTTAAAGAATTGATAAATAAAACTTTCCGAACCCTAAAAAGAGATAAAACATAACGGAGTCAATGACTGGTCTTTCTGATCTTTACCCCGCTGATATAGTTATTTGGCTGGCTTTAAACTTTTAAGAGAGTTGGATGGGAACCGTTAAGTGACTTTTTTATCTGTTTAAACAATAAAAAATTCCAAAGTCGTGTCGCAGTGTATGATGTGATGGTTTCACATAAAAAAAATACACAAGGGCTGATTTCTCCACTGGAGCTGATGAAATCGAAATTGTAAAATCGATAGCATTCCTAAATTTTAAGATTAACAATCACAGCAGTATGTACTACAAATCGTTGACATGTTTTATTTACGGATTAGATCTGATTTTATTAGTCAAGAGACCTAAATAAGCATATGTTTCAAAAATAAATAAACAAACAAACAAACAATCAAATATATAAGCATTAAAAGACAGGAAAATAATAAGTTAGTAATTAGATATATCTAGCCAATATCTAATCAACAAGGAGTCAAACAATCTGCCCTCTGATAACACAGGGACCGCTTTAATAGTTTACAAAAAATAAAGTCTCCAATTCAATAACTTTGTAACAGACTACTAGCAAACACTGTGGTCAAACAGTGAACACACACACACACACACACACACACACACACACACAACAAGGGCGCAAACATATCTAATACAAACTATGCACAAACTTTGAGTATCCGATTCAATAACTTTGTAACAGACAACGAGCAGACCCCGTGGTCAGACAGTACAAACGACCCAACTTACACAGGTATTTACATCAACTTATCCTTACACAAGTACACATATATGACCTACTTAACAACGCGCATTTGATTGTATGCACTGTTAAAATAACAACATCAGTGAGGTCATTTTGGGCCAAGTTACAACGTACGGTAGTCAACCTCATCAACCAGGAAGTGATTTTTGATTGTTAATTGATAGCAGTCGGAAAATTCGCTTAAAGCAGAATAAGACCCTTTTGTAAAGTCTTCCAGTTCTTCGTGTAAGTATCAACATGAATTGTACTTGTATTAAATGCATCGTATAATTATTTTTTAATTGTACTAAAATATGAACAGTGTACTTGTAAATAGGCTTTGGAGTAATTGGTTATTTAAAAATGACGCCCAATGCATGTACCCCCTACATTTCACAATATGATCATCAATCCTGGTACGTTGTGTACATTGTATGACTTTTAAGTATTAAAATACTACTGATTTGGGGTATAGTGAACTGTTGTGATACCCATAACTAGCGACTTTAATTATGACATTGGTCCCCAGCTCAATAAAGCGTACTTTTTTCTGTATACATGTATGGTATATATGGAGGTCGGATTACACCGTCCTCTGTGTCTGTGTCATATAAAATCATTTTATATACGAGTATGTTCCTGTTTGAAAATAAAAACGGTTTTCAATTTCAGGACCTATTATAAAGAATGTACCAGACGATAATGAATTTCGTGACATTTCTATTCCTCTCCGTAGTATTCCATCTCTGCGATATAGCCTTCACCTCCACAATTGTCAGTTTTTTTCCAAGAAGACAGACAGCAGTAGAGTTTAACAACATGGCTATTGATAACGCCACTGGGACTGTATATGTTGGAGCTGTTAATATTCTTTACAGACTGGATGGTGACTTACAACTATTACAAAACGTAACGACTGGACCAGTCACGGATAGTCCATACTGTAGCCCTCCTCCTTCTCCCTGCTCACAGGGAACGCCCACAGACAACTACAACAAAATTTTGGTAGTAGACCAGTCTAGGGGTAAACTGATATTATGTGGTAGTGTATATCAAGGTACTTGTGAGTCTAGACCAGTCACTAATTTATCGCAGGTTACTACATATCTTGGCTCTGACCCACTGGAGAATTTCATTGCCGCCAATTCTCCCGATGCTTCCACTGTGGCTTTTATAGCACCGGGGCCCAACTCACAGGACGTGTTATATGTGGCTTCTACATATACTGGACAGGGGTATGTTGGTAGGCTTCGGGGGCAGGTAGCAGCTGTAAGTAGCAGATCTCTTCAGACACTGGAATTAACGAACTACAACGCTCTGTCCGGTATAGGAACGTATATAACCCTCTCTCACACACGCAGTTCTTATATAGTGCATTATGTTGCTGGATTTTCATTGGATGGTTATAGTTATTTCATCACGAACCAAAAGACAACTCTTTTTAGTACAGAGTATGAATCGAGATTAATTCGAATCTGCCAGAATGATGCCAACTACTACTCATACTTCGAAATGCCTTTGCATTGCGCAGGAACCAATCCTAACGTGTGGTTCAATGTCCCAAAATCAATATCAGTGGCAAAACTGGGAAATAATTATGTACTATTGGGTACTTTTGTCAGAGGATCTAGTTCAGCTTTATGTGTATTTTCAATGGATAACATAAACGTGTTAATAAAAGACAAATACGAGCAGTGTTACGGTGGGAATGGAAATACTGAGGCTGAACAGTTCCCAGGAGGGTTAAGACAATGTGTTTCTGTTGCAGTAAGTTTACTTCAATTTATTTCAACCACAGATGTACAGTTAATCTTTAATATTGTCATTTTTGTACTTAAACAATATATTTTCGACCGCTCGTCATTTTCTTCTTTTACATCCCCAGCCAGACTGGTATTACTACGGGTCAAACTACTGTAACCATGACTATCGGGGTGTTAACTCACCACTGGTGTCAACCACCCAGGCAACATCAACCCCTGCTCTGACAACCACTTCGTCCATATGGACAGCAGTAGCCACCACAACCACCACCAGCTACACTGTGGCTTTTGTAGGAACTGCTGATGGACAACTAAAGAAGGTACCTGTACAGCAGACATGAGTTGATTTGTTTTAATACGTGAACAGTACTACTCACGTTGTTGTATTTTTATTAGACCCTATTCCCAGAGATTAGATCGATCCAACTAGCTCGACCTAACTCCCTGGGAGCTAAATAGCTGTCAGCCGAGCGGGCAACGAAAGTTAATTGCCCCCTTACAGCTTGTAGTAGGCGGGACGGACATTTAAGCCGGATTATCTGGCAGTAATCTTGTGAGACTCCTCACGGGGATAGATCGATCTAAAATCTATGGTAATGAGCCCTTAGTAATTAATCTGATTGCGGAACGAGAGGACGAACTTATTTGTTCAATTTTAAGGAAGCGAATGTGATAATGTATTAGGCTGTTATATTATAGAAACAGAGTGCATAAATATTGAACATTGTTGCTGTGCTTTGTATTGCGTCCAAATAATACTCCTGATACGTACATGGTGGGGACATAAAGCATAGTCTAGTTAATTAGGAGTTTCTTTACTTTTTTCGAATTTTATAGATATGAGGATGTATTTCAAAAACAATGTTTAGTAAATTTTCTGATTTTTTAGATACTAATTCAGTCCAATACATCTGCTGTAGAATATGCATCAGTACAAGTGTCAAACGATGAGGTAAAAGATATACAGTTAGACGGCACAGGAGAGAACGTGTATGTTATGGCCAAATACAAGGTGATTTACCGCGCCGTTACATAAACAGCTTTGGAAGTTGCTTGGATCCGAACATGTAGTGGAAAAGTAGCCCAATCTCACTAAGATTCGTATTTTCTGATTGTTTAACCATGACGTGAAAGCGCAAAAGAAAATCTAAAAAGGGAGTAGCCGAACATTTGAATATAAATATACAGACTACATGTATCTTAGAATTAGTGCAGGGTTTAATTTTAGTGACTGCAAAATAACGTGCACATTTGTTTATCAAATCATTTCCAGGTCAGTAAATTAAAGGCAGAAGACTGTGCTAGTTTCAGTAGTTGTGATGAGTGTTTGGCATCCAGAGATCCGTTCTGTGGATGGTGCAGTCTGGAGAACAAGTAAGAATAGAGTATACCTCTGTATTTAAACGCTTACACCTGCTAAAAACTCTTTCTGCTGTTCTAGAAATTCAAGAAACGGAAGAAACGGTTGAGAATGTTATGTAATCATATTTAACGTAAAGTTAATTTGTTTTACATACTTGGAGATACAACGTCATTCCTTCTCTTTTGGAGTCGTTTGGCAAATAATCAAGTAAGGGGACATTTTTACTGAATGCATTGCTTCTTTGCTTCATTGTGAATCTTTAATTCTTAGAATCTTTTTTTTGCCTCTGAATTGCGATGAAATAATACTACAATAATTTTGCATACACTATCCATATCTTTTCCTTGCGGTTAGTGTCTTGCCTGTTCCACACAGAGAACCTAAAATGGTCAGCAATGATTGTATGACTAAAAAACTAACACGTGTATCTGACAAAATTCCTATTTCCTGACTCCTTTACTATTATCCAACATTATGCATTGTTTTTGTAGGCCGCATTAGAACCCATCTTTCAATATAATGATTGAACCACCTCATCCAGTGTTTTACTTTCTATAGATGCAGCAGAAAAAGCCAGTGCTCGGATGCAGATGGCGTCGAAAGATGGCTTCCCTTTGATAATGGACAGTGTACCAAGATCAATAACATTGCACCATCAAACACACCTCTAGCCAGACCCACACAGGTACAAAAAATTATTATATACGTCGATTTATTGCACAACCAACTTTCGTTTCATTTGACAATATTTCCAAAAATCTTTGTGATATCTTTTGGTGGACTCCATTCATCGCTCGAATGTCGGTAGAGTCCAGCTTGTTGTAATAGAACTTCACTGTATTGACATACTGTACATTTGTGCGTATGTTCAGTGAGGTGAATGCTGTAGATCTTGTACCACGACTTTTTGTGTCCATCATTAACCGAATTGCCAAGGCAAACGGTGCGGTAACCGATCAGATTACCGCTGAACAACGTCATACACGTGAATGCATCGACAAGAAAAAATCACATTTCTGTGAACGTGGCTCAAGGCAATCGGTAGTTTGATACATGTATCTGTAAGTTGCAGTATTAACTACCATCTAAAAAGATAATCACTGTTGAGTATATTCGTATTTTAGGTGAACATGTCAGTTAACCTCCTACCCCCAGGCCAGACCTACCAGTGTGTGTTTGATACCACAGCTGTCACTGCCACAGTCACTGGGGGGAACTTGGTGACATGTGACATACCCACAAGTTTACCTACTATACCAGTTGGGGACGGTAAGGAGTTTTGTTATTCCTGTGCAGGTTGCATATATATGTCAAATAAACAAAATATCCAACACAATCTTATCCCTTAAAACATAACTCAGTTCCCATTATGGTATAATGCTATTGCACATTTACTAATTTTTGTTGCACCAAAAATCTAAATTTTAATACAGATCTTGAACATTTTAGAATATATTGGTCATGTCTTCATTACAAATACATAAGTTCAATGTTACAAATGTATCAACCAACTTTTAGTTGAAGTAATAGTGTTATGCATTCTTCTTCTTCTTTTTATTATTATTTAAATTAAACACTGTCAGATGTAAGATATTTTTGAATCACACACTAAAGAAAGTACTACTTTCACTTCAGATCACATTACAATAGCATTATCTATCAAATCAGTAACGACTGGAGTAAGGTTTTTAATGACCAACTTCACATATTTTGACTGTGGCGCTCACTCAGGGTAAGTAGTTTTCATTACGATCTATAGATTCACTCAAAAGAAATTGAAGTATGGTTAAGGTTTCGCATTAACAGATTGATAAGATTTATATATACAATAAATTGTCATTTCAGTTGAAAAAAACTGTTCACCCAAGTGTTCCTAGCTGGGGAACTTATAATAGAAAAACAACGAACGAAACCATGATTTTTGATCTGTTTTCACCCTTGATGAAGTCCCCGGGAGAAGGGGTTATATGGACAGAGTTATAAAAAACAAGTACTAAGCAGGCTGGATTAATTTGTTCATTTTCTCTAAATATATTTTCGTGCTACTCTTTATATGTATTAATTGCCAGGTGTGTGTACTGTACCAGCAGTAGTTGGGCCTGTGACTGGTGTATATATGCTAACTCGTGTATGTATGTATTATTACTGTAGGTGTGTGTCCTGTACCAGCAGTAGTTGGGCCTGTGACTGGTGTATATATGCCAACTCGTGTATGTATGTATTATTACTGTAGGTGTGTGTCCTGTACCAGCAGTAGTTGGGCCTGTGACTGGTGTATATATGCTAACTCGTGTATGTATGTATTATTACTGTAGGTGTGTGTCCTGTACCAGCAGTAGTTGGGCCTGTGACTGGTGTATATATGCTAACACGTGCACCCACGCCAGCAGTACTTGTAGTCCTAGTGGAGGGGTGATACCAGGACAAAATGTACGTTCATTTTTTTATTAGTCCGTGTATACTTTTTTTCTTCAAAACCTAGATAAAGCCAGATAATATCTGGTTACTGACGCAATATCTCATAGTTGTGACATGTGAAACACTGCTGCTGAAACTAGAAATTAATATTATCTTGTTTACGCACAATTTTTAATGTCGGTTTTCAAGAACAGAAACATATTTACGAATAAGAAACAGTGCTGACTTCTTTCCTTCATTTCAGAGTCATGTCAGTGTAGGTATTAAAGGTCCCACCCTGTGCCCCCAGCTTCTGCCACGTGCACAGGACGTCCTGTTACCTGCTGGGGTACCTAAAATGATCTCATTGATTGGGAAGAACCTACCTGTGCCACATGTAAAGATTCACTTAAATGTGGTTCTTTTAAATCACGTTATCGTTACTTATATGTTCACATAGGAATACATTCTTTTTACTTATGTTTTTTTTTGCGACAGAGAACCTCACAATTATGGGAAGATATATTGTGGTTTGGCATTATTACAATAAAGCAAGAATTCATTTTATAATCAGTTTCAATAAAAAAGACTGACGTAAACCAGACATTCACACTCCAAACAGCTTTTTTTATAAGTTCTGTTGTGCCTTGCGATTATTTTGCTTGTTCTTGACCTTGCTCCAATGTCATTCCAGGCTGGCCAAGGTGGTTACCAATGTAAGATAGGCACTAACACAGTCCCAGCTATCAGACAGAGTGATAGTGCCATAGACTGTCAGGGCCACGCTGTGAGTAGATATCACTCACACACCCAGAAAAAAACATAACATTAAATAGAAACGTGTTTCTTTTTCCAAAAACAGTCACCATTGAGCTTGTTACAACTAAGGCCTAATTATATCAGAAATCTTCTTTGCCGTACCATTAGACTACCAGTTCCAAGAGAAAACCAAGTTATCGCTGTGTAACCTAGTCATATATAGAAACATGTTAGTCCAAATATTGGCCTGTTGTTGTCCTTTTCTAAACAGGGGGATTGTGATATATAGTAAAAAAAAACTTACAACTTACTCTAATTATTATCATCATGAACAAATATTCATAGTCAGAAAATAATATAGAAGTGGATTATACATTTTTCCCAGATAAAGACAGTTGGTTTACAATTTGATCTCCGTTGATTTTTTTGTTTATTATAATCGTTATTATTAAATCAGATGTTTGGTTGTAACGGGGTTTTCCGTTCATTATTCCAGTTTATATACACAGCCAATACAGGTCAGGAAAAACACAAAATCCAAGTGATCTGGAACAATAACCATGTGATTGATCAACCGATCGGCTCTCAAGTCAGTGGTATGTATTGTGTACCAAACCAGTTCTACTTCTTTTTTTTTCTCTCAAACTTTTCATTCAGTAGATGTTAAGGTTGGAATGTGTAAATGCTTAAATATATTATCTAACTTTCTCAGAAAGAATTATACGACCTGTTTCTCAAAAGAGGAAAATGTGGTTTCACATGCGAAGATATTTTGCAAGAGATATTTTGTTGGCAGTTTACTTGTATTATTGTTTTAAAATTATTTTCATGGTTACAGCTGTGTACAACACAATTGTAACATTGTTTGGCAGTATTTATGATATATTTTTTGTATACCATTAGTTCACGATAATGCCACTGTTATTTCAGCAATCATGTACAAAATGTTTTGCAAGTCAAATGTCCTGTTGGTTGTTTACTGGGATTACTGTTAATTCTTTCAATTGTTACAACCATAGCGTATGTACAACACAAATGTAACATTGTTGGGCGGTACATCTTTAATAATTATGTTATACCATTTCACGATGATGTTACTGTTATTTCAGCAACCCTGTACAAGTGTGACGTCATGGGCACCACATGTGGCACATGTATTGGTGCCGTGGATACAAAGTTTGGATGTGCTTTCTGTGGAGGAACGTGCAAGTACCGCCCAACATGCAGTGTTCCAGCTGACAGCACTTGTCCTAATGTCATCATCAACTGGGTAAAGATCTGTAATATATTGTAAATGTGATGTCCTTGTCACCAGTCAGTCTGTTTTATGTTGAGATTTAAAAGTTTTATATAGTGATTATCTTAATTTTCAAGTGTCATATGGGTGTTCTTATCAATATTGTAAGCCACAGCAAACGTTTTAACTAAGAAAATATTGTTTGTCTTTAACAGACAATTATTAGATGTATATATAAGAGAAAATTGGGGCACAGTGGAAAAGTTAATCAGCATATTTATCTATGAGTATGACAACCTTAAAAAGTATAAACAATGTCTTCCAGGTTTCTCCACTGAGTGCCCCAGTTGAAGGTCACACAAAGGTCACCATCAATGGTACCAATTTAGGCATATCTGATGCCAGCATACCCACTGTTAGACTGGCAGGCGTGGCCTGTAGACCTGTTGTAGAAGACTATGTGGTGTCAAAAAGGTAAGGAATTGTCGTAACTGTTGGCACTGGCACTAGGATCTGAACCTGTTCATTTCCCTGTACCATTGGTATTGTTGTCCAAAACTTACTCCTGTAGAAGAAAATTAGAAATATGTAACAAGTGAATGCCACTTTATTACTGGTTTCTTAGATGGTTTAGTGGCATAGAGCTTAAATGGCTATTGTAATTGGCAGAATTGTAAGATTTCACTTATAGGAAGTTTTGTTTTGCTTTCAGTTGGAAATCCATTTTTAATGGCTTTTTCAACCTTATGTGTCCACCAGACTCCAGTTACTGTTGTGACCACAGAATAATTTCTTCCACTGTTTTATTTCCCAAAATCAAGTCTGCATTTTTAGCATTGTGTGTACGGCAGCAGAAACTCCAGGCAGGTTGGCCAGGAATGGTTCCATAGAGGTCCAGGTCCAGGGTTTGGGCAAAGTATACCGCTACTCCAACCAATTCAGATATGTGGTGCGTAAGTGTTTTGAAATACATCTCTATCCACATCACTACTCTTGATGGGAATGTGTAATGACAAATACTTGTGGTAGAATATTACATTTGGAGCATTATATTAAATGAGTGCATTTTGATGATATTTTGCCAATTAATAACTGATAATGGTATGATAAGATTTATGCAATGTTGGGCAATGCAATGTTTTAACTTAGGGATAACGGCTCCTTATTTGAGTTTTAAAATTCCATAATAAATACAATGTTAACAATGCATAGAGATATATTAAATTCAATCCGTTTTTGTCACTTTTCCCTTCAAAAAAGACGTTATCTCATTAATTGCCCCTTTCAGGACCCCAAGCTGGAGACAGTGTTCCCAGTGAAAGGTCCCATGTCTGGTGGCACCAGGCTGACCGTGAAGGGGAAAGATCTTAATGCTGGCAACCTGGACAATATTAGCCTAACCCTAGGAGAGGAAATGTTGCCTTGTATTGTAGATAGGTAAGGATACTTCATAGACAATATGCGTCGATCTTTTTTGTGCTAAATGTGTTTTACAGATTGCAGGGCTAAAAAAAATATAAAATACCGTGACTTTAAATTGAGGATTTAATTTGAGGATTAAATTGAGTTTGACATAATTTCCCTAATAATTACCCTGATAAATATCCGCTGTTTTCTTTTAAAAATGAAATACTGCTTTTGGTTAGACAGGGTAACATGGGATATTTTTAAAACAGTTATTGCAAGGAAACATTTAATTAATGAACTTAAAGAGCATGATAGTGGCTCAACTGATCAAAACAAACATTCCACAGCCAATATAAATTGTGTGTGTGTGTGTGTGTAAATATTATACAAAATGGAAGAAAAAGCAAGGCACAAAACCATGGAAATTCAGTCTATTTTGATCGACATAAACTTTCTGTAATTTCCAGAAGCACAATTGGCAGCCATTCCACCATTTGTACCACTCCAGGGGTCAGTAGGCCAAATGTCGTGACCTCTGTCAGGATGCTTTTTGACGGCAGTGTAAGAATGCTGGACCAGGGCCCCTTCACATACACTGATGACCCTGTGGTGGACAAGATAATGCCACTTACCAGCTTCGCCAGGTAACGTACAGTAAATGATGCCCGGATGTGGTGAGAAGTGTACAGAAAGAAAATCCAGGGTCATTTTCATAATTTTTGTAATGCTGGCCTTTCGACCAAAATTATTAATTTTAAATACAGTGTATATGGATATTACTGCAAAAGTGTGCGTTTTTTGTAACAATATGTTCAATATTATTCAGTGGAGGACGGATGTTGACAGTCACTGGAAAGTATTTTGACTCAATTCAACAGCCAAAGATGTTTGTTTGGAGGGGAAAGGAAAAGTCGCACACAACGGTAAGGGGGAGGCAAAACTACAATGTGCGTAAGGTGATAGGTCTTTTAATGATCAGAATGAAGAAAGGGAAACCTGTACCTCCCAAGTTATTTTCCTACTTTATACGGACGTAATTTAAATTATTTTACTTTGGTTTATCCTTTGTTGCTTTGCATATGATGCATATTTTTCATCATGGCATCTAATTGATGATTTTCTCTTTCTGTCAGGATTGTCTCCATATACCAGAAATGTCCAGTACCACATTAACATGCCCATCGCCAAGAGCGCCTAACGGGATTCATCCAACGCTTCAAGACACTTCAGGTTCCTTGCGCCTGAAGAGACAGTCGGACACCAATACTATCGCGAAGATTGGCTTTATAATGGACGGAGTGGCAGCAGTGCAGAATTTAACAAACATCACTTCAACTCTTCAATATGTTGTGGACCCGTTGTTCCAGAATTTGACCAGCGACGGTTCCGGTGTGAAATATCAATCTAACACCAGCTTCGTAATACGAGTGAGTCAATATTTTTTCAAGACAATTTTATGAGAGTAAAATATATCGAATCTAAAAATGGAAATACAAAAGCAACAAAAAACGTAAATATAATAAATAAATAAATGCAAACATTAATTAATGGAACATTTAAAACATAAAGGTGTTTCTTAACCATCAGTGCCTTATTCCTGAACCTATTTCACCGCAATTCAGGCCAAGCTATTACCAGCCTAAAGCGCACTATAACAAGTTGCAGTCTTGGTAGTCCGTTTATTGGTAGCCACACACCTGTCTTCACGTTTCTCCATTTCCATATCTGTACAGTGCATAATTCTTGAACCCATTTCATCACAGTTAGAACTCCATTTATGATGTAATTATAACATTCCTATATAAATCTCACTTTTGTTCAACAGGGACATTATCTCAACTTTGCCGCAAGCGAAGCAGACGTGACTGTTCTGATTGGTGGGCATAACTGTGACGTCACGGGTTTGGCTCCCAGTGTTCTCGTTTGCACACCGCCACATTTTGATTACGGAGATAAACTGGTAGCTGTAAGTATTCCATATTAAATCTTGATTTGTTTGCTTGTTTGGAGTGTTTTTTTTTTTATATAAATGGTACACGGTGTCTGTTGCCTAACCATCAAGGTATACAATAGTGCTCTACCGAACACTTAAAGAACATAACTCTCTAAGTAAAATGTATATTAAGTTGCCCTGCAAGGTTATCCATTGGTTATTTACTTATGCATAAGTCATTACAGTTAGGTCTTACAATTGCATTGCTGGTAGTCCCTATGAACTTATTCCACAGAATACAGTAGTGTATGTAATTGGAGGCATTTATTCTCTTCAGATACGTATGGGTAATTTAGAGTACCAAGTGGGATATCTAAACTATGGGGATCCTCCGACAGTTCATCCTGCAGCCAACTATGGCTGGGTAGCCGGGCTAATTGTCCCTATTTTTGCTTTATCTGTCATTGGAATCGTTACTGGAGTCGTTGTCTACAAAAGACGTGCAAAACGAGCTACTACCAATCACAAAGGCGCCAGTGACACGGATTACCTCGGTTTAAGCAGTCAATTTACACCACCGCGTGTTATCAACACTATAGAGGACGCCTTGATGCTGGTGAAAGATGGCGACTTAAAGGTTGCTCTAAAGCCTGTACTGGTGAGCAGAGACCGGATTAAAATTGGAAAATTAATAGGCACCGGTGAGTAAATGACCGTCGGGTTGCAAAGATGTTATGGTGTATTGAAAACTCTCTGGAATCTAACATATCTCCCCATTGAGACATGTCTGGTGCTTCATATGCCCGCGATCAAAGTTATAGTTACGCCCACAGTACTTTTATGGCGGTTCGGTTAGTTTATTTTATAAAACTGTAATAGAATAAACATATAGTGGAGAGTGAGTAACAATAGTAACGTTTATTTGTTTGTTTCAGGGCATTTCGGTTGTGTATTTGAAGCAGTTTACGAAGACAGCGAACATTATAACCCGTCAAAAGTAGCCGTGAAAACGTTTCAAGGTACATGCTAAAAGTGCTCGATCATTATCTTGCTCTTAATACTTGAAAAGGATTATTGAATGTATGTCTGTTTATAATGCTTGTTCAATTATATGTTGTCTATATTTATAAGAAAACATGTCTATGCCAAAACTTATATTCACAATGTTATTGGTAATTGTCCTTAAATCAATACATACTGAAAGAAGTATTGACACTACCCACCCCCATGCACAACTTTCGCAAACATTCTATATCTACACAAGCGCATTTAATTCATGAACGACTTATTTCCTGCAGGAAAGGGTGCAGACATTCAGCACCTAGATGAATTCCTCAGAGAAGGAGCTCTGATGACGTCATTCCGCCATGAACACGTGTTGACAATACTCGGGATATGCTTCGAAGTTGACGGCAACCCCATGATTATACTACCATACATGGCCAATGGAGATCTCAAAACTTACATCGAGAATCCTAAGAATGTGCGTAAGAAATGTTGGAGTTTGGGAAAAGTCATACTTATAATAGTTTACTAGAAAACATTCAAGAAGATAAAGTGAAGTGTTTGCAATATCATTGTTTAGAAATAAAATCCGACATACTGAAATCGCTGGTACGATCCTGAGTTTATTGCGATTTAAAGCCCATTAAAACGTATTGTTTCTTCATACTATTGACAGCATGTACATTATGTTATGTTAGGCACCTACTGGACTACAGCTGCTACAGTTTGGTTTGGACGTAGCCCGGGGCATGGAATATCTTGCTGAGAACAAATTTGTCCATCGGGATTTGGCTGCTAGAAACTGCATGTGGGTAATGTATTCTCTGTCCCAACAGATCATATAACCTTAATATAGGGCAGTTTACACAATACCTTCTTTCTTTTGCTTTGAGGGGGGATTCTAGGGGAAAAGGCGTTCCTCTTGAGGAACAGGTGATTCCATAGGCGAAACGGGAGAAAATCGCCTTTGCGTTGATATTTTTAACTTTGAATGTTATAAAGTCAGTAACTAATACATTAGTTTCTGGCATACTACTTTGAATATACAGTATTACAATGTAGGTATTTGTGAGTATTATATGCCAAGCAAATAATCAACCAAATCTAGAAGAGTAAAGACATTGTCAGTTAGCAAGAGAAAGTTGACAATTGTATGGTAATCATTGGTGATAAAAAACTCACCCAGCATTGCTATGTTTTCAGGCTAGATGACCAGCTGCGCGCCAAAGTGGCCGATTTTGGACTGACTCGTGACGTGTATACCAAGGAATATTACAGTTCCAGAGACAAGCAGGCCAAGTTGCCGGTGAAATGGATGGCGCCAGAGTCCATGGAGAGGAACGTTTACACTTTTAGATCTGATGTGGTATGGCCATGGGGTTACATTAAGTTTTACTTCGGAATTTACTGCTTTGCCCATCGTTATACGGTAGTGCAGTTTGCATTTTAAAATCAATAAACTCCATGAAAGAAAATCTAATTCTTCAAATTTTATATGATTGATTGATACATGAATTAGAAAATAGAACAAATTAAAAGAAAACAATTATTTTGAGATGTCATGTAATAATCAAGGAATGTCCCCTCTAGATTTCTCGTGTTTTAGATGTACAATGTTTGTTTCTTTTTATTTGTTTCTCTGGAAAACACAACTTTCAATTAACGTACCCCTGAGGGTAAAGCATCAAAATATGATGCCCACAATAGCCCTGCAAAAGCCGTTCCGACCTTTGACATTATTTAAAATTTCCTATTGTCCATATAAATTATAGTAATGTTTGATTTGTGTTACTTTAGGAGATATAGACTATAAATGTCAAACCATCCTTTTTTTCAATATCTTTTTGTTATCATAATATAAATATTTCTATTGTCTACAGTGGTCCTATGGCGTGCTACTTGGGAAACTGTTCATTCTCGGTAAGGGTATTATTATCATTATATAAATATTTCTGTTGTCAACAGTGGTCTTACGGCGTACTACTTTGGGAGCTGTTCACTCGCGGTAAGGTGCCGTATCCTGGTGTAGACGGATGGGATGTTCTGCAGTTCTTAAAACTTGGGAGAAGATTGGACCAACCCGACTACTGTCCTCAGCAAGTGTAAGTCCTGACTAACAGCAAGCCTACGGGTATTTACATATACAATGTACACACGTAGCTATTTCTGGTCTGACGTGAGTCTTAGATATTGGTAGGGCCGTTATTTCTAATACGGTGTTAGTATATTTAATGTTATCATTAGAGGGTCTGAATTTCTCAATTCTCTTCTTTGATGCCAATTTTGCATGCTTCTCCCTGCTGAATGTGCCTGTATCGGTGCTTAACAGTGCTAGTTGCACATGCACCTGACTGTGCATTTAGTTACGTACAGTATACATACTACAGATAGTATACTACCCAGGCGGATCTCGGAAAAGGGGGTACCACGGCCATAAGCCAAAACTTCATATACAGGGAGCAAAGAAGAGGGAGTGAAAGAAGCACCACAGTTTAGAGAAGCACAGTCGTTTTATTTACAGGGTAGCAATTTCTAATATCGGTCCAAACTATTGGGATTCTGTTTTGCTGTCTTGATTGAATCCATTTTGTTCCTACCCTGTCGTCTCTTCTTTTCCAGGTACCAGCTAATGCTGAAGTGCTGGTCATGGGAGCCAGAGGAGCGACCAGACTTCACCTCTATCGTAACACAAATAGAGGAGACAGTGAGAGTCAACATGGAAGTTGGTGGAGAACCTGGTAACAATGAACATGGAAAAGGGGGTGGTGATTATCCTATGTACATTGAAGTGTTCTAGGTACAATGTAACATATGTAAATAATTTAGTCCAGTCGATTTTTGGACAGTGCTTTTTATTTGATCTTTGCTATGAGGATGACGACATATGGATTTGGTACCTTTTGTACCTGCATATTTTATCTCAGCTGTATGTTTATTAATGATCTTAAGAAATCACATGGACATGTTATATTATGTTGGACAATTAAGAAAAAAAATGAGACTGCTTTCACTATTGTTGAATCTAGGTGTTTTTAGACTATGGGTTATCACATGATGCGCATGCCACGTAAGAGTGCATTCAGAACGGATGACCATCAGAGAATTAGTGGCATCGCTTTTTCAGTGGGGTCGGCCATATTTAGTCGGCGTCTCAGTTAGTCCGCTGATCATGTTCTGAATGCGCTCTTAGAACAAATTTGGACCACCGGCAGTGATCAAGGACGCGGAAATTGTTGGGCAAAGACAAAGTGAAAACTTTAATGGCGTTTCACTATTTAATAGAATCCAATAGAATTTCACACTTCTTGAGTATCATATATTACCTTTAAAATATGTTTTCTTGATATCAGATATCTTGCAAATCAAACCATACACTATTATACTGGAGGAGATTAAGCAGAGTACTGAGCACGGCAAATACACATACAAAGAAGAACACAAAACCAGAGAATGCAAGAGATACAGACAGAGAGAATTAGCGAGAATAAGCACCGTTTATCACAGTTTTATTCTTCTTATCAATTTTTAATAAATACCTGTATAACTATATTACCTATAATAATAATAATAATAATAATAATAATAATAATAATAATACACTTTATTTAAAGAGTAAAAGGTAAAACGTATTATGTGTGTACACTTATCTTTCACATGGCCCCACATCCACTTCCAGTTGAAAAAAGAAACAGCCTAAACTCCTAAGATCAAACCGTAATTTGGGTCAGGGACATTTTTTGTTGCCTGCATATCAGATCTCAAAGGTTGCCTCATTTCAAACAAATTGAAGATAAATGATGGAAAAACAGAATTTTTAGTCATTACTCAACCCCTACTACAAGGGCCTTGCTCACAACTTGCAACTTAAAATTGGAGCTAGTATGGCATTATCCTCCCCCCATGTAAAAAAAAAAGGAGTATACTTTGATTCTACACTTTCAATGGACAAACAGCTCTGAGCTCCAACATCACAAGGTCTTGTGTATTCAACATTCCGAATATTGGCACCATAAGGAAATATCTGAATCAATCATTTGCTGCTGCTGTTATACACTCATTGGTAACTTCCAGGTTGGACTATTGCAATTCTGTTTTATATGGATGTCCAGATGATAAGATCAAAAGATTACAACGCATCCAGAATATCTCAGCACC